GGGGGGGGGCGGCCAGAGGCTTTTTTGCCTGGGGCGGCAAAAAAGCCAGAGCCGGCCCTGAGTCTGTGAATGTTTTTGTTAGGTGGTATGGATGTTAGCATTTGCTTAACTGCAACTATAAAAATCAAATCACCAATGACAGTGCTTTACACTTTCAAAAAACTGTGTACACAATATAGAGACACTATCAACTTGGTCCAGTACAAGTTAAATAAAAACATTCATTTTAAATAAATTAACCTGCAAAATAGCAATTATGTGCCTACATGCTGCATAGACTTTGCGCTGGCAAATTTTATCCTAAGAATCTGGAACTCATTAAACAAAAGTGAAACTTAATTCATTGATTTTTCATTGTCCAAACTGAGATGCACAAGGTAAACAAAACACATCAGAAAATGGGATTTTAAATTTTTTTTCACCTTTAATAATTTAAGGAGTAGTGAATTGCTCAAGGTCAGTAGAGCTAGAATTAGAATTCTGGCATTCTTGGGTCCCAACCTACTGATTAGTTCACTAGATTATGTTGTCTATCAGCGGTTGGATATTACAAGAATGTGCCAAATAGATAATATTCATTTTGCTAAAAAAAAAAAATCCATTCATGCATGAACACACACCAATAATAAAAAAAAACTTAATTTTTTTGTTTTATTGAAATAAAAAGTGTCATGTGACTTTCATATAACCTAACTCCACTGATACTAAATCTGGAGAATTTAACTTCCACTGACTGCTTTTTTCCATGTGTGTGTGTGTGTGTTGAGAAGTTGGTTGGCCTGAGAGAAAAACAATAGGAGCTTATTTGTACAAATTTCTTCTATTTTTCCTGCAATCTTCATCCGTTCTTTCATGGATCTCTTTATACAATGGTATTTGTCTAATTATGGAGTTTGAGTTAAGGAAAACTAGAATATTTTGCTTAATTTCTTTGGAAAGCCCCTTTTAGTTTTATACAAGTAGGCATAGAATATTACACCACTAAGTATATAAATGAATATCCTGTGTATGTGTTCTAAGTATTCATTTACATTCTGTTCTTTATGTTGTGACTTCATTTTATGGTACAACCTCCCTTAATAGCTTAGCAAAGTGGCAAAAAGATTTATATGAATTGTTCCATTCTATCCTTAATTTACCCTGTAGTAACTATGGTATGTAAGATTGCAGTCTGGTTAAAAGATTCCAGTTATGTCCAGACAGTAGATTGAATCAAAGGAAGTCTATGGGTTGCAGATTTAACATGTTTGCTTTGCTTATCTGTTCTTGTCTGCATTCTTGATGTTCTTAAGTCAATTTTTCCATATCTTTCCTTATTTTAAATGACTTTCTCTGAACTTGATCCATGCAACACTATTTTGTAACTTCTCCTTCTTTCAGAGTGAAGTCTTCAATCTCTGAAACCTTTCCTAGCTCTGAGTCTCTCGCAGTTTGTGCTGCAGAAACTCAATCCTTCTCCTGCAGTATGGATGTATTTTTGGGACATCATTTGTAAGGTCTAATAAGGTACCTGACAAGGTTATTTTAATTATTTTAGAAGACTAATTCTAGTGGAGGATTGGATAGCCCAGGCACTATGTAATAGGGCAGGGGTAGGCAACCTATGGCACGCGTGCCGAAGGCGGCATGCGAGCTGATTTTCATGAGCACTCACACTGCCCAGGTCCTGGCCACCGGTCCGGGGGGCTCTGCATTTTAATTTAATTTTAAATGAAGCTTCTTAAACATTTTAAAAACCTTATTTACTTTACATATAACAATAGTTTAGTATATTCTAGACTTATAGAAAGAGACCTTCTAAAAACGTTAAAATGTATTACTGGCACGCAAAACCTTAAATTAGAGTGAATAAATGAAGACTCGGCACACCCCTTCTGAAAGGTTGCCAACCCCTGTAATAGGGCACCTTTCATCTCTAGGTCTTCAGTTCAAATCTAGGTTGATAGTCATTTTGGTAAAGCCACTGTACAACTTGCAGAAGATAATGGTTTTCTATCACTTTGTGCTAACAGTTTCTCCTGCTCAGATGTCCACATAGCTATTGGCAGCTTAATAGAGGCAAAAGGCTTAATTGGCATTGAGAATGAACTTCTCTCTCACTTTGCCAAATCAGAGTTGAGGCACATTGGTGAACTGGTGT